GCGTGCTAGACCAGCTTTGTATTTGGGAAGGCGTGCCTGGCCACCCTGGAAAGGATAGGCCATTGGGAAGCGCCGGCCAAGGCCCCTGAGCCCAGGGCAGAGGCTGGAGCAGGTGTCTTTTCAGGGGTGTCCCTGCCTTCCAGGAACCCTCTAGATGGAGACATGAGTGGGCCTCCCTCAGATCGTTTCATTAGCGAGATTGTGACCTGCGCTGCAGTAAGTCCCCCAGGGGCAGTAGATCCCCAGTAGCTAGGGCAGGTTGGTGCCAGGGCAGTTCCCAGGGGAGGGGAGGTGACCTTCTGCCCTGGATCTGGGAGTAGGATTTCCACTGGGCAAAGCAAGCGTGCAGGAGCTGGCCAGCGTGGCAGCGCTAGGTGATCCTTCACTCCCTGCAGCGGGATACACCACCCCCTGCCGTGTGCTGTGGCATCGCTTCTCAGACTTCAGTATGCACAGGAATTCCCTGGAGAGCTCCCTGCAGTGGGTGCTGGGCCAGGCAGCGAGTCTGCATTTTTTTTTTTAAAGATTTCTCTATATGTAGATTTATTTTTGCATACAAAAACTGGGGTACAGCCCAGAGGTGCAGGGGGTGAGAGGATTCACCAGAGAGAGTGGGGAGAACAGGCAGATTGACTAAAATCCACTGCTGAGGGGTGCTTTGGGCGGGTCAGGAGAGTGCTGTGCCATGTGGGTGACCTCCTTGGCCAGGGATCAAACTCTTGCTGCAGTGGCTGCAAATAGCTTCATAGTGCTGCGCTTTAACCCCTTGTGCCACCAGGGAGGGCCCTATTTCTGTATTTTAACACATCCCTGGGGCAGCTGCTGGGGTACCCCGCTTAGTGCAGCCAAGTGCTCACTCACTGCTCCCAAAAGCTGAGGATAGGGCAGTCAAAACAAAACAAAACACAAGAATGCTGGTCCCCAGGAAGCTTTGATTTTAGTGGGGAGTGACTGAGTGTACCTTATAAGCAAAGTTTATAGTGTCTTCTCCTGTCCTGCACACTGAGGAGGAAAATAAATCACAGAAGGAGGGAGTCTGTTTGTAACAGGGATTGCAGTTATAAGTCAAGGAAGGGGGGCCCTCCCTGTTGTCACAAGGGGTTAAAGCACAAAACTACAAAGCTAGCCAGAACAGGTTCAGCACACTTTCAATCCCCGGCCAGGGAGGTGACCCCTCTGGCACAGCAGACCTCTCCTGTCTCCCTGCTGCTCCCCTCAGCAGTGGATTTCGGTCAGTCTGCCTATTCTGCTCCCCGACACTGTCTCTGGTGAATCCTCTCTCGCCCAACACCTGCACCTCTGGCCTGCACCCCTGTTCTGTATGCATAAATAAATAAATCTTTAAAAATTTTTAAATAAATCAAGGATGGTCTCATGGAGGGGGTAATCTCAATAAATCCCAGAGGAGGACAGGAAGGGAAGGACATTCTAGGTAGGGGGAGCAGAGCGCAGAGACTCTGGGGACAGAACTGGGTGATCCAGGCAGAAGCTCAGTTTACTCAATAAAGAAGCTGTTTGTCGCTTCATGATCTCTTCATGCTCATTCAGTTTAAAGTTCTACCACAAAGCTGTCCAGGGACTGTTAGTTTGCAGTTTTGTGCCTCTGTTTCCTCTTCTCTGGAATGAGATGCAAAATAGTGAGCTGAGGCTGGCATTGAATGCATTAGTATTTGTAAGGAATTTCGAATGATGCCAGGCTCTCCCCGTGGGTGCTTCAGTGTGAACTGCTGTTGTGCTCACCATTTTCCCTCTAATAGATTCATGTTGGTCACGATTGTTTATTTGGATGTCTGCCGCCTTACCCATGCGCTCTTCTGGTGAGCTCAGTGTCATCTCTGGGTTGCTGGCACCCAGGACCTCTGAATGTCAGAGTTTTTGCAGAGCTCTGAGGCTGCTGGGGAGTCGCTGATTGCAGGGATTCCATCAAGGGTATTGGTTGTGTAGTTCAGATCCTTACTAGGGAGACAGGTAGTAAGGTTTGCATGGAGAGATAGAGTAAGGTTTCCCCTGATGGTTGTGGAGTTGCGTCCTGTTATGCGTGGTTTTTGCTTTGTTTTGTTTTGCTTTTTGGTTTATTTTGAGGCCATAGTATTAGGAGCACCTATGTTGAGAACTTTTGTCTAGATAATGTGTCCGTTTGTCGCCATCTCTGTCCCTAAAATACCTTTTGTTTTTTGTTGGTTATTTTTAGTGGTAATGTCACGTCTCCACTTATAAAATATATTTGCCTAATACATCTTTTTCCAGTCTCTTTATGGCCAGTCATTCTGGGTCACAATGTTTACAATAAATGGATCCTCAAGGAGAATCCTCCGAAAACTGACGTAGGGTGGAGTCTGGTGCTGTGTATATGTGTGTGCACATGCATGCACAAGTGTGCAGGAAATTCTGCACAGTGACCCCTGCGTGTGAAACAGCTCACACTGCCAGCCCTCATGAGGGTTGGGACCTGGAGCCCCTGGGAAGAGAGTTTTGATTCGTCCTGTCCTGTGTTCTTTGATTCATCCTATCCGGTGTTGGAAAGCGCTGCTGGGGACACCACCGTAACCATGACAGCTCTGGCCCTTCCTCCCTCCTCTTCCCCAGGGTTCATAGTCCAGTAGAGGAGACAGACCCACCCCTGGACAGTGATGGGACAGATGGCTGGGACAAGGAAACTCAGAGCCCCCTGCTTTGGCAGGTGAGGGGTTTACCTGAAGAGTGCAGGAAAAGTCTGTTAAAGTTACCTTTGAGCAAAGACCCTAATAAAATGAGGAATGGAACTACTTGGAGATTTGGGGTGGGGGAGGCATTCCAGTCAGCAGGCACAGCAAATGCAAAGATCACGGAAGGGAAGAACTTGGCTACCGGCTACCGTGCGGAATAGATAGGAAGGCCAGTGCGGGACCCAGAGGTGGAGTGGACTCAGCCTGGGAGGGTTGTCGCCTCTCGGAGGGGTGGCTGAGCTGAAACTCCACAGAGGCAACATAGCTTAGAGATCTGGAGTCCAGGTTCCTGTTCCTGCCCCAGCTCACACCAGTTCTGTGTGACTTTGGACCGGTTAGATGCCCTATCCTGCCTCAGTTTCTTCGTCCATACACACAGTGGGGATGATAATGGCGCCTGCTGATGCCAAGGGATTGTGACTGTTCTGTCTGCCAGACCAGGCGTTCATTCGGGCCCGAGGATCCTGGAAAAATGGGGAGGGCTTCCCAGGGGCACCTGGGGGGCAGGCAGGCTCCGCGCAGGTCAGCTGTCGCTAGCCCGCCTATTTCACTACTGCCCTGTCTGTTTGGCTGCGTGGCCTGAGCCGTGAGTGTCAGGCCCAGAGGCTTGCCTCACTGTTGCGGGAGCCGTCACAGGGTGCTGCCCATTTGTGTGACGAGGTGATCCAGCTTCCCCGCAGGAACTCTCAGCCCCCAGGGTTCCCAGCCGAAGCGGGGCACTGCCAGGACTGCCTGCTTCCTTCCACCCTGGAGTCTCCATTCTTCGGCTCCTTGGCTCTTTAAATCCCTGCTGTCAATCTGGGCCCCTGTTCCGAGGGAATGTCGTGTGTTACAAGCCTTTACTGGAATGCCGCGGCCTCTTGCCTTGGTTTCGTGCCTCCGTTTGACGAGATGATGGGAATTGTTACACGCTCTCTTACGCACAGCTGTTTCCACACCCACCTCGTCACCTCTCGCCTACTCCGCCCTCTTTCGAAGTTGGGCCCCGTCGCCAAGACTTCCCTTATATGGGCACGGCCCCGAACGGCAGGCGCTCATTGGCTGGGGGCGGCACGCGCGTGTCTGTCAACAAAGGGGCGGAGGGAAGCCAGCGCCGCCCGCCGGCGCGCGAGGCCGAAGGGTAGGAACGAGGACGGGCCCGCCTGCTTATCTTGTGCGCATGCGTCTGTGCGCAACCACCTCCCTCCTCGAGGGGGCGGGGCTCATCGTGGGCTGGGGGGGCGTGTCTAGATTTACCACGGGCGGGTGGTGGTTTCCTGGGGCCGGGTTGCAAAGTGTATGGGTTTCTTTTGCATTTAGGCGCTCCTTGAGGGAGTATTTGAGTGGGTTTGTGGGCTTTTGCGCTTTCATTGAACTTGGGGCTGGGGTTTGGACACTTGTAGGTTGGGATGCACTGCAGGGGTTGGTCAGGGATCACCTATAAGATTTGAGTTGTTGGGCCCTCCCTGGTGGCGCAGCGGGTTAAAGCACTGCACTGAGAATCTAAACCCACTTCCGCATGAGTTCGATTCCCGCCTGCCCCGGAGGTGACCACATAGCGTGGCAGACCGCTCCTGACCCGCCCGCTGCTCCCCTCAGCAGTGTACTTCCTCGATCTGTCTGTTCTGCTCCCCCTCTGTCTCTGGTGAATCCTCTCACCCTCCGCATCTCTGGCCTATACCCCAGTTTTGTATAAATAAATAAATTAATCTTTAAAAAAAAAAGATTTGGGTTGTTAGTGAAGTTACTTAGAAGCGAAGTAAAGAATGTGAGGGTACTAATAGGGGAGGCGATTCATTATCACTTTTGGAGGCAAACTGCCTGGGCTTTGGTCAGCCTCCGCCTCATCCCACCTGTCTCACTCCAGGCTCAGGAATCAGCCTCTCTCTCCTCATCCAGAAACGAGGAGTACTAACTCCCTGCTTCCTAGGGACCTGGGAAAATTAGCAGGAATTCTTAGCACTACCTGGTAAGCTCCCAGTGAACTTGCAGTCAGTGCGTGCCGGCTGTTACAACATTTGTGGGACTTGTTTGGGAGTTGGTTTTTTTTTTTTTTTTTTAAGATTTATTTATTCATACAGAACTGGGGTACAGGCCAGAGATGTGGAGGGTGAGAGGATTCACCAGAGACAGAGTGGGGAGCAGAACAGGCAGATTGACGAAGTACACTGCTGAGGGGAGCAGCAGGCGGGTCAGGAGAGGTCTGCCTCACCATGTGAATGTCCTCCGGGGCAGGTGGGGACCGAACTCATGCGGAAGTGGCTTAAGCTTCTCAGTGCAGTGCTTCAACCGCTTCGCTGCGCCACCTAGGAGGGCCGTTGGGAGTATTTTGACTATTTTGACGATCCTTTGTCTTTGAGAAATAGATGGTTTGGGATTTGTAGGTGTTCCGGGAGCCTCTGTGTTTTAGTTTTTTTATGGCTGGGAACTTCTGCGGAATTATGGGATATATGTGATTATAGGATTTCAGGAAACTGTTTTTGGGGACATCTGTGAATTTGGGACATTGCTGTGTCAGTTTTCGAAGGCATGGAATTTGTGAGGGGTTGGTTGAGCTTGGAGCCTTCTGGCCTGGAGGGGATATGTTCAGGTTTGGGAAGTTAAAAGTAGGGTTTGGAAGAGTCACATATTTGGGAGGTGGCATTGAGATTCTGGAGATAAGGATAGGAATTGCTTGGGGGATTTCAGAATGTGTTCCAGGATAACACATTTGGTCTTTGCTGTGTTAGTTCCTGTTGCGGGGTGTCTAGAGGCACCAACCATTTGAATGTATGGTTGGTAAACGGCCATTGATAGGGGCTGTATGGCATGGTTTTTTTGTTTGGTCTCAAGCAAGGAATTGGGTGTCTATAAGGATTTGAAGGGAAGGTGGAACTAGGATTTATGGGGGTAAGATTTTTAGGGTTAGGGCTATTGCTGGTGTTTAGAGGCTGTCTGGATTTTGAGTAGTGTTCATGTCTACAGGACTGTAAAGTAAATAGGGTTATGTGGATTTGTCTGAACTACAGGGATAGGCAAACATTTTGCACAGATAGTATTTTGGGCTCTGCAGGCCATCTGTTCTCTGTTGTAGCTGTCAATTCTGTCACTGTGGCATGAAAGCAGCCATAAACAGAGGAGCACATTTCAATAAAACTTTATTTGCAAAGACAGATAGTGGGCCAGATTTGACTCTCTTGTCTTATGTCTTAGTGTGCTGGCTGCTGACCAGCCCTCCCTCCCATCCTAGGCTGTAGGCATGTGGAAACCCAAGACTGGGAGGCTATTTTGGTTTGGAGATGTCTGGAGGGGAATGGGCCAGGGAGACTGAACCTGGGATGGACTGCCTCCGTGGAAAACAGTTGGGTCTGGCCGTGTAGCAAAATGGCCTCCAACACATCATGCACACAGAGTTGTCGGAAAAGAAAATGATGATTACTAAGTGAACCCTGAATGGAAAAATCCAGAAATCGGGTTTGAGGATCTGGTTTTGTCCTGTGTATGCCTTCCCTACTCGGATCCTCAGTTTCCCTGTAAGCAAAGTGAAGGAGGGAGCTGGGCTGCAGCAGGTCTTAGCCTGGGGTCGGGGGATGCACTTTGGGGCATTCCCTCACAGGCAGGACATAGAGCTCCTAGAGATTGTCAGAGAGCCCAAACAAAAGTGAAGCGCGGGTTTCTCCAGTGCCTGTCTGCCTCTGACCTCAGATTTTCTTCCCCCGCCCAGCCCACCTCGTTCCTCCCTCCGTGGGCCCGAGCAGCTGGAGCTATGGGCAGGGCTGGGAATTCTTGTCTTTTCAGGAACTGGCTACTGAGTGAGCAAATAGAAAAAGGAGGAGCTGTCTGGCAGTTGGTACTTGCACTTAAGATTAAAGGTTACGGCCGCAGGAGGCCTGTGGATGGTGAGTGAAGGCAGCGGGTAGTGGCATTTGAGCCGTAGGGCTGGCGCTGGCCCCCTGCTTTGGCTGTTAAATGAGCAGGTCACGGCCCCCACAGCTCTCCATGTGGGGCTGAGTTGTGGTGTCTGCCTCTGTGGGAGAGGTGGAGGCTAGGGGGATGCTGGGAGGGCTGGCGTGCCCCCAGTGCCCCGACCTTCTCTTCCCTGTCTTCAGGTAGCCTGCGCAGCGCCCCCCCAGCCAGGCCCTGAGCCTCGGTGAATCCCTGTTTGTCTGCCACCGTCCCCCAGAATGGACCGCGGTAGCCTCCTGCCCTTCCAGCTGTGGTGCCCCCGGCCCTTTGGCACCTACTCACAGAACCAGCCACGCCCACCCGCGGCAGCCCTCAAGCCTTCAGCCTGCCCCGAGCCCGGCAGCAGTGCAGAGCCAGACCAGGGGCCTGCCCTCTCAGAGAATACCCCGCCCACCTTGGCCTCCGAGGCCCCTGCCTCTCAGCCCGCTCCGCTTCTGTCCGCCGCTGGCGCCGGCGACGAGGGCCGTGTCCTGCTGGACACGTGGTATGTTATTAAGCCCGGGAATACGAAGGAGAAGGTAGCCTTCTTTGTGGCCCACCAGTGTGGCGGCGGCAGCCGGGCCAGCTCCATGAAGGTCAAGGGACACTGGGGCAGTGACAGCTCCAAGGCCAAGCGGAGGCGGCGCTGCCTGGAGTCGACCAAGGCCCCGCCGGACCCAGGGGGCCAGGGGGGGCCCCCTGCCGCCGAGGGGGCCCCAGCCTCAGCCGGTGAGGACGTGGACCTGCTCTCCGTGGCGGAGATGGTGGCACTGGTAGAACAGCGGGCCGCCCTGGCCCTACAGAGCTACCCGCGCCCAGGCACCCCGGCGCCCGTGGTCTTCGTGTCCGCCGAGCAGGGCGGGCCTGCCAAGGGGCTGGGGTCCGAGCGGCGGGCGGGCGGCGGGGACTGCAGCCGGGTAGCGGAGGCGGTGGCCCATTTTGAGGCCCAGAGAGACAGTCCTCCCGCCAAGGGCCTCCGCAAAGAGGAGCGGCCGGGGCCAGGCCCTGGCGAGGTGCGGATAGCCTTCCGGATCTCCAATGGCCGGGAGCCTCGAGCCCCCGATGGCGGCGTGCCCAGTGGGAGTGGGGGCCGGCCGGGCTGTGCCTACCCTGGCAGTCCAGGGCCTGGGACCCGAGCCAAGGACAAGATCACCTGCGACCTGTACCAGCTCATCAGCCCTTCCCGGGACGCCCTCCCCAGCAACGTGGAGTTCCTGCTCGCCAGGGCCGATGAGGCCAGCAGCGAGGGCGAGGCCCCGGCCCAGCCCAGGCCGGAGGACACTCCCCCGGCACCCCCTCCTCCCCCTGCCCGGGACTGCGGGGCCTCAGGCTTCCACGTGGATGTGGTGGTGACCGGCGTGGTGGACGAGTGCATCTTCTTTGGCAAGGACGGCACCAAAAACGTGAAGGAGGAGACCGTGTGCCTGACGGTCAGCCCCGAGGAGCCGCCCCCACCCGGCCAGCTCTTCTTCCTCCAGTCCCGGGGGCCTGACGGGCCTCCCGACCCCCCTCCCGCTGACTCGCCGGCAGTGGCGCCGGGCCCAGATGACGCCGAGGCGCCGGCGGACACGTCCCTGTGCCGCCTGTACCGGCACGTGTCGCACGACTTCCTGGAGATCCGCTTCAAGATCCAGCGGCTGCTGGAGCCGCGGCAGTACATGCTGCTGCTGCCCGAGCACGTGCTGGTCAAGATCTTCAGCTTCCTGCCCACTCGCGCCCTGGCGGCCCTCAAGTGCACCTGCCACCACTTCAAGGGCGTCATCGAGGCGTTCGGTGTGCGCGCCACGGACTCGCGCTGGAGCCGAGACCCCCTCTACCGCGACGACCCTTGCAAGCAGTGCCGCAAGAGGTACGAGAAGGGCGACGTGTCGCTCTGCCGCTGGCACCCCAAGCCCTACCACCACGACCTGCCTTACGGACGTTCCTACTGGATGTGCTGCCGCCGGGCTGATCGCGAGACGCCGGGCTGCCGCCTGGGTCTTCACGATAACAACTGGGTGCTGCCCTGCCACGGGCCTGGCGGGGGCGGGGGCCGGGCCGGGCGTGAGGAGGGGAGGTGAAGCCGGGGGAGGGGGGGGGAGCCCACCATGCCCACTCCCACCCCCTCCCCGGGCAGCCGAGGGCCCGTACCCTAGGCCCAGCGCGCGCTCCCCTCCCCCTCAGAACTGAGATTAAGTTGGGGGTGACCCCAGAAAGCACTCTGACTTCCCCCCCCCCCCCGCAATTGCTTTTCTACTCTTCAGACCCAGGGGCATGGACCCTCGAGTCGGGTGTTTTTTATCAGCATCTCGATTTCTTCTCCGTTCAGCCTCAGTACCCTCCCTGCCCCTCGCTCTACCAGGGGTCCCCAGCAGGGAGCAGACGGCAGCTAATTTTAGTACTACTTAAGGGTTTCCCCACTTGGGCCCCCTTCTGCTCACTCTCCGAGGCTACATCCCCAGAGTCGGTCCCTGTCCATTTGATGTTCCACACCAGGCCTCACCGCCTCATGAACTGGGGCCCTGGGTTACAAATCAAAATTAGCACGTTTCATGGCCGCCTGCCATTGCTAGATGTTTTTCCCCCTTAAAAAGAAAAATCACTGTTTCTTACAAGCTACCAGTCTCTCTACTTCCCCTAAGGGGAAGAGAAAAAAAAGTTGGAGTATAGAAATTCCCCTCCTCCCATTATTTAAGCTATTGCTCTCACTCTCCCCCACCCCCAAAAAAGCTGTGAAGCCCTCTGCCTCGCTTTTGACAGCGTGAGGGGGGCCGGTGGGCAGGGATTGTGGGTTTGAAATTCTGGGTTTTTCCTTCCATTCTGGGTACTTGTCAGGCCTGGGGTCCTTTCTCCCCAAGCCACCTGTGTTTCTTTAGAATCCTCTGGTCAATGGAGATCTTCGTTTTCAGGCAATTTGCTCTGGGGTATTTTTGTTTGTTCTGTTTGGGTTTTTTGTTTTTTTTCACCATTGTGGTCCTGGAAGCTTCTATAGAGTGTGGCATCTGACCGGTTTTTAATTGGTCCTTTCTATAAAGTCAATATTTATAAGCCTAGGCCCAGCCTGGTTTGTGTGTTGTTCATGGAAGGAGGTTTTGGAGAGGAGGAATCGTGGGTCTGTGCATGGTGGGGTGGAGCATAGTTGAGCCAGAGGATTCTACAGCTGAGATTATTTTAAAATTTCTGCACCAGTGTCAGTTTGGATTATAAGGATCTCAAAGTAGTAGCAGCTTAAACAGCTTGGTTTTTATTTAGCAGTCCAGTGCTGGGCAGGTAAAGGTGGCCTTGAAGTACCCAGAACCAGACCCCTCCAAGCTCAGTTCAGGACACACTCAGCCAGAAATTTAAGGGAAAGTACCTGGGACCCTGAAGCCGGTTTCTACTCTGAGGGTGTTTGCTGATGTGGACAACTCGGGTTTCCTGTTTGTAGTCTTACTGCGACGAGCAGGCGAAGTCATGGCCACAGCCTGCCACGGTGAGGCGCCCGTGGACCTGGCATCCCACTGAACGCAGCTCAGGTAAGGGTGACCCAGAGGACTGCGAGGAAATGTTCTGAATTCTGAAAGGAGCACCAGGCCAGAGGGAAGGGGAAAAGTAGACCTGAGGATTTGGGGTCCCAGGCTGGCCCTTGCCTCAGGTCTCAGCTGGGTTTCTATCACCTGTGCACTTCTAGCTGGGCTGTCTGGGAGAAACAGACAAGTCAGATCTGGCGGAGAGAGCCGGCGCCTAGAACCCTCCACAGTCATTCAGATAATGACCAGAAGTAGTACCCAAGCGGGTGGGGATAAAGCAGCCTGAGCCAGACCCCAGTGAAGGCATCAGATAGTGAGGTCACTGGTCACAGGTTTTAATGCAAGACTTGGAAATACCTGCAGGGAAGCCAGGACTAAGAGGTGGCCTAGCAGATACGGAAGAACCCACACATGGTAACCAGAAGTGAAAACTCCATGGCTGAACTAAGCAGCAAATTATACATAAGTAAAGATTCACTGAAGTAGAAAGTAGGTCTGAAAAGTAGTACAGGGGTACCCCCCCCCACATACATCAAAAGTTACGGAAACGGAAAAAGTCTGAGACACTTAATGGGAATTCTAGAATCAGAAGAGAATGGTGCAGAGGTAATATTTAAACAAATGATGGTTGTGAATTCCAGAGTGGTAAAATGGCACCGCTAAGCCCAGCAAGCTCCAAGTGGGCACCTACCACGTGCCCCGAAGGTGCCAGCTACATGGGATTTGGCGCCTGGCTTCCCTAGAGCTCACCTCATCCGAACCCTGAGAACAGACAGTTCCTCAAAAGACTGATGTGCAAATCGTCACACCCAGGTCACTTGACATTGCCCATCAGATACACTTAGTGACCCCACAATCATGCAGAACGGGAGGGTGGGGGCAAGTTTGGGGAGTTGAGGAAAACTGCCCAGCACCACAGCCTCCTCTGTGACCTGGAATGAACAATCCTGGCCCCAACTTCAGGTGGAAATACACATCAGCTGCACCTGGTGCCTCCAGCCAGCGTGTTCGTGGGAGGCCTGAGGGCTGGGCGTGGAGCTGAGCACCCAGCCTTCCCTCTCCCACAGAGGAGTCTTGCTATTTCTGGGAGCCCCGGGTGCAGGGTGCCCATGTACCTGTGGTTGATGCCTGTCAAGCCCCCTGATCTCCTGGCCTCCAAGGCTGTCCACCCCGCCCCAACCCTCTCTTGCTTGCAGCCAGTCTCAGGCTGTTTTTGGTCCAGCACAGCTGATTTTTGGAGAGGTAGAAAAGGGCGTCACAGCCCAGCTGCAGGGGAGAATCTGGGAGCAATCTATAAGCAACTCCATTAGTCCCGCAGCAAAATGTAACCAAACTAGACCTAACTCAGGATCGGGGAGCAGGGGAAGGGCAGGCAGAGGCCAAGCGAGTTGGTGTGGACACAGTCTCGGCAGCTGTGGGGGGTGAACCACGGAGCTTTTCCAGCGGAGCCTGTCACCTGAGACCGAGTCTCGGCCAGTGATCCTCCTGCGGCTGCAGCTTTTGAGCTGGCCTAGAACGCTGATGCTCACCCTCACTCCTTAATAACCCTCCAGCCTGGCCTGGCACCCTGCTGCCAACCAAGTCATCAGCCACACAACCAGCAGGCCCAGAGCACAGGTAGGACCCCGCTTTCTACACCCTCACCCCCATCAGTTCCCTAAGCAGCTCTGCATGTACCCAACTCATCCTCAAGGACAGCGTGCTCCGACTTTTGCTCATCCTGATTCAGTGGGTCTGGGTGGGGCCTGGGAGTCTGCATGTTCAAAATAAGCACCCCCACCCCCAACTGAGTCTGAATACGGAGGGTTGGGAAATACTTGCAGTTAACACCCATCATCGCACACTCCACAGCTGCAAGGGCAAGGATGGCTGGGTGTCGCCAGTGTGCGGTGAGTCCAGGTCTGCCTTGCCGTTCTGAACACAGACATGCCACCTGTCGAAATGCAGCACTTCCCAAAGTAGCTTCTGAGGCACCTCGCTTCTCTGAGGTGCTTCCCCATAGAAAGGCTCCATGGGGATATACTTTGGGGAAACACCACCTTTTGTCTCACTCTGGACAATTCACTATGTACGGCGACAAACCCAGGGCTTCACCCCGCTTCTCGCTGTCGGCCAGGCGCCTGCCTCCGCAGCTCCGCCCGACAGGCTAGAGGCCCAGGTACTCGGCCAGAAACACGGCGAGGATGCGGCTCAGGTTGTGCACCGTGGGCGGGTGGAGGTTGGCCTCTGAGTCCTGGGGCGTGTGCCAGACAGAGGGGAAGGGCGTGGCAATGAGGTGGAGCACCGGAACCCCTGTGGGCAGAGAGGAGACCTGGGTCAGGCCCACACTGACCTGGAGCCCAGGAAACTCCATGCTGGTGCTTGAAAGAACTGATGGGCAATTTTAAGCACGTGAGGGTGGACATCAGTTTAAAAATAGAGCTGACAATCTCTACTGTTTTCCTAACACAAGTGGGAGAAACTCGAAATTTCGTGGACTGTGCTAAGAGGAGAGGGGAGGAGAGATGTTGGCATCTCCTGCCAGGCGTGTCATTTGGGTGGGAATTTTCCCTGTGGGCCATGCCTACAGCCCAGAACCCACACCACTTCCATACTCCTCCCCAGGGAGCACACACACCCCCACCACCACTTTACCCCACTTTGCAGACACACCCCAGGCAGAGGGACCTGGCTAACCCCCTCTAGGTCACAGCACAGTCAGAAGTGGACCCCAGGGCACCAGGCTCTAAGCCCCTGCACTAAGCCAGTTCAAACCCGCCTCAGGGTTTCCTGCTGTGTCCTCCAGGCTTGCTAAATCCCTGCTCTGCCCAGCTAAACCGCCCAGGCGGCTGCGGCCTTCATGCGCCCTGCCACCTGGCCCAGTCGTACCCGAGTGCTCAATGATGGACTCAGTAAAGGCCTTGGAGGGGACACTTGTTTGGTGAGTGAGTAAATGACGGAGCAGAGCATTTCAAAGCCGTCCCTAGCACTCACTCCATGCCAAGCGCTGCGTACACAGGCACTTTATTCGCCTAATCTTATCTGCCCTGCCCTGCGACTGAAAATACCCTTCCACATGCACTGGTGTGTCTGTGTGCACTTTCCAGAAGCAACGAGGGTTTGGAGGTTTGGCAACCCAGGCTTGTCCAGTTCTAACGCTGATGTTCTGTCCCCGTCTGCTCTGAGGTGGGGAACCAATTTAGAGCAGGGGCTGCGGACAGCCTGGTGCCCTGGGTTCCATTTCTACTATGCTGTGACCTAGAAGGGGGGCTTTACTCAGAGCCACCTGGGAGTTCTGTAAGCAGCTCAGAGGCCAAGAATGGGTTTCAATGGGTCTGAAATGTGTCTGGGCAGTTTTTGAGTGTCAGGTGAGCCTGCTGGGCTGCCAGGGCCAGGAGGCAAAGGGTAGGAGAAACTGCAATCACTGGGCATGAGCAGAAATGCCAACATCTCTGCCTGCTTGGTGCTGGACGCTGGGCCGGGTCTTCCCATGTATCTGTGCATTCCGCACCCCCAGCACGGAGGGGGCGTGGGGGTGTGCTGGAGGAGGAGAACTGAGGCACAAAGATGTTAAACAAGTTGTGACCAGTTGGCAGCTTGGGAAAAGGGCCAGGCCAGGTCCCAGACATATGTGCACGCGCGCACACATGCACGCACACATACTCATGCACACACACACATATGCACACTTCTCGCATGCGCGCGCAGCTGGTACCTCTGCGGAGGAAGGGGATGTGGTCGTCTTCCACAGAGCCAATGGGCTCCCCGGGCAGGAAGTACATCACTTCCTGGGGATGAGCCTGTAGCAGCTTCAGCCTGTGCAGGCGCTTCTCTGGAGGTGGTGAGGGTTAGAGAGCAAAGGTCACCCCTCAGGAGTCCAAGGTTTCCCTGCTTATAAATCAGAGGACGGCAGGAGGTCTCCGGGGAAGGCACCAGTCCCCCCAGGAAGGGAGGAGGCGGCTCCCAGGCGCCCAGTCTCATCTAGCCTAAGGCTAGGAGGTCAGTCACACTGGACCTCAGAGGAATCTACTTGTTCCTACCCCCCGAGGTCCTCAGAGAGAGGCTGGAAAGGTGGGGGGAAGGCGATGACCCCAACAGAGCAGGTGCCTGCCTCACCTGGCTCTCCTCCTCCCTCCCTGCCCCTGACTGGCACTTACCGATGCTCCTCAGCCGATGGAACCAGCGGGCTGTGCGAGGGAAGTGACTGTAGAAGGTCGGATTGGGGGCCCCCAGGAGATCAAGAAGCATAAAGAGCTCCTAGGGAGAGAGGCCAGGACCAGAGCAAGAGGCAGGACAGGACAGGACGCTGCCACCTCACTTTCCCTCTCCCGCCCTCCAGAACCCAGGGGACCCTGGTCTTACGATAGCCTGGATCCTGGTGGGGCCGGGACTGTGGGGCAAAGACTCCATGAGCTGGGCCAGATGCCGGGAGCCATACAGGGAGTCCTTGGGTCCCCACTCCTTCAGCGCCTCTTCACCGTCCAGGAAGAGAAGCTGCAGGGTCACGGGGGCTGCCTGTGGAGCCGGTGGCGGGCCAGTCAGTGCCAGCCTTTCCCACCTGGCTGCTCAACAGTCCTGAACATAGGCTGTCACCTTACTCATTTAGTATCGTGGCCGAGAGTACGGATGGCACCAGAGTGCCTGAGTTCAAAACCCGACTCCCCAGCTTCGTAGCTGAGTGGTCTTAGGTCATTTTCTAACTCTCCAGAGCTTCACTTGTCTCATCTGTATGGGGTTAGTCACACTTCTAACCACAGGGTAGCCCAGTCCAGGCCCTAGTGCCCAGCCTGTAGTAACTAGATACAGGTCGGCTCTGATGACTGCTACGGTTCCTCAGGCTTGTTTAGCAAAGAGCTCCACAGGTGAGTATAGATGAGTGATTATACGGACAGTGGTGCAGTGCACACACTTGCTTCCCAGAGCTCCAGGGTCCTGCAAGAGCATAGGAAGGAGGAGGGGTACGTGTTGAGCCCGGGGTGCAGGTGGAGCTTGCTGGGATGGGTGTGGACACTGGGGTGTGTAGAAGCTGACCTGGCCAAATGAGGCAGTGTTTCCAGGTGAGGGAGCAACATCGAGCAAGGCCAGGGTAAGAGAAGAGACCAGAGAAGTCAGCAAGGGCCAGAGCTCGGGCTTTGTTACAAAGCCACAGGGGCTGGCGCCATGGAAGGGATCCGAGCAGGGAGGAGCACCAGAATATTGAGCTTTTCTTTCATTTCTACATTTTGATTGACATCTTACTTTATGCCAGGGAATAATCTGGTTTCAGCCTATAAATAAAGCAGGAAACAAAGCAGCCAAGTCCCTAATCAGAGGGAGCTTATTCTAGTCGTGGGGACAGATACACACATCAACATGAGGGGTCAGAAAGCATGGGGTGGCGACAGCTATTTCAGAGAGGTTGAGGGGGTCTGTTTGAGGAGGTGACATTGGAGTGGGCACCTGAGTGAAGAAGGGTTGGGCAGACAGCTGAGAAGAGCACACTCTAGGCAGAGCAGAGCAAACAGCAAGTGCCAATGCCCTGAGGTTGTTCTCCAGGGAACACAGAAGAGGTGGGTGGCAGGACTGCCATGACAAGGGGCAAGCGGGGAGACTACAGGTCACAAGCACACCGCAGGGATGACCGCAAGGACTCTGGCCTATGCTGAGGAGGAGGTGGGAGCCACAGGAGGGTTTGGGAGAGGCAGCCTCCCCCCCCCAACCCCTCTCCTCACCTGCTCCTTGGCTCTGCTCAACTCCAGGTCGAGGGCCCGGGCCAGCTCCAGTAGCAGGGCACAAGGCACAGCTGAATCCGTGGCCCCCACAAAGGGGCCCGACCCAGATGGGAAGAACTTGGAGTCGTAATGGCAGGCAAGGGTGAGGTGATGGGCAGCCCCCGGGTCCAGTGTGGCCACCACGTTACCGAAGTTCAGTGGCCCCAGGGGCGTTGAGGCTGTGAAGGGGTCCAGCTCCACATGCCAGCCTGCCGTCAGGGTCCGCATCGTGGCCTCCAGGAACTAGTGGCAAGAGAGGTGGGAGGGTGGGAAGGACTGGGGAGGCGGTCAGAGAAGGGCCAGGTGACCTGAGCCTTACAGCAGTTACGCTGAGTCTGCAGCCCCACTCCGGTTCGCATCAGGCCTTCCGTATACTGAGTGCCCTCGAGCGCCCGCAGGCTGTGTGACCAGCTGCACGCTAAGCACTATTCTCTACCCCTGTGGGGTAGGGACTGTCAGTGACTCCATTTTGCAATTCAGAAAAGTGAGAAACAGCTTTAGAAACAAGTCCAAGGTCACGATCTAAGTGACCAGAGAAGGGTTGGAACCCAAGCAGTATTCAAAGGGCTCTCCATGCTTTCTTGGGAAGTGACATCCAGATGACCCAGGACCGTTTCTGGAGCCAACATGTTTGTGTTGAAACCCTAGATCCACCATATATTAGCTATGGGATTTGGGCAAAATGCCCAGCTTCTGCGGGCTTCAGCTTACCCAGCTGCACGATGAAGAGCTTGGAGCCCACCTCACAGATGCTTGCTTGTGTCTCTATCATCTAAGTCCTGGTGGGGCAGTAGAGTGTGGTGCAGCAAAGAGTGTGGACCAGCGTGGGATCCTAAGCGTCAGATTAGCCCAGCTCTGCTTCCTAGCTACTTCAGGATCTTGAGCAGAAAGACTGTTTACTATTTCCTGGCAGGCTGGGGTGTCAGGGGAGACTGTGGGACCCTTTACCTTTCTCACTTGAAGATTGCCAGGGCTGCCCGGATTCCGTACAACCAGCAGGGGGCGCAGGTAAATGTTCCAGAGACGCCGCGGGTCCAGTTGCCCCACCACCTGCTGCAGCCGGGCTTCTGTGAGGCTCGCGACCAGCGGCGTCTTGGCAGGGTCGGATGGGAGTAGGAAAACAGAGCTTGAGAACAACCCTCATTCTGACCCTACCCCAGTCGCCATCGCCCCTAAACTGCTCCAGTTGAAATTTGCAATCGCAGCCTAAGCATCGGAGGTTTCCAGGATAAATTCTAGGCTCTGGACCCTTCCCCGAGTCCATCCAGCCCAGCTCACCCCGATCTGCATGGGAAAGTATAGGCCCAGCGGCAGAAGGGAGATCTTCCAAATAGTTAACTTTAGAATCAGAACACAGGGTTCTCAGTCATTCCCCTGGCCCCTTCAGGAAACACTATTACAGAACAAGCCCGAAGCCGTCTACGGCTGGCTTGAGGCAGAGTCTCTAAAGACAAAGACAGCGGCAGCTCCGAGATGGGCCGTGACAGAAGCCACGTCAACCTAAGAAACCAGCAAAGGAAAAGTGGGGAACTGGAGTCCCGCGGTGCCCGCGTCCCTGCCCTTCCTCACCCGCAGGTCCCGGCCGGGCGGCAGCCCATCCGTCCCGCGGTGCCAGGCGCTCCAAATGGTGTACAAGGCCGAGGTCATGGCCAGCGCCAGCAGCAGCACGGGTAACAGCTGCGCCCGCGGCAGCAGGCGGCGCTTGGGCGGTGAGACCGTCTCCAAGAGGCCGCGCTCCCCGGACCGTAGCCGGGGCCGCCCGCGGCCTCCGGGACGCATGGCAGCTTCAGCCCCGGCCGGCAGGGGACCGCGGCGAGAGCTCGGGCCCGGGCCCGCCCCGCCCGGAGTCGCCGGCCAGTGAGCACCAGGAGCTACTGCCCCGGCGCAGCCTCCGCCAGCAGCGGAGCCAATGGGGACTCCAGGCCTCGCCGTCTCCGGGGTTTTGGGGGTTGGTTTCCCGGAGCGTGGCACAACCCAGAAGGGAGAGCGGAAGGGCAAGCGCCGCCTCGACGGGCGGAGAAGCCAATGAAAAGCGTCTGATCCTGGAAAACATTCGAGCAACGGACGCAGGTCCACGCCCCCCGCGACCAAAGCGAAGGGTTGGCGGGCTCCGCAAAAAGTCCACTGACGCGCGGGTGAACGGGCTGACGGGCCTGTGGAACGGCGTTTCCTCGCCCTCCTTCAGCCTCTGCCGTTGTGCAGCGAGACGGCTTGAGTCGACCCGCTTTCTCTTTCCCTCCATAGTGGTGAACGTTTTTCCCGGCCGGTTCTAAACGGGCTCGAACCCGGGGGCCAAGTTTTCACCCCGCCGCCGAGTAGGGCGGGCGGGGGTCGCTGTGGCAACAAGCCACGCCCCCTCTGGTTGGGTGTGCGCACGCGCCCACGGAAGTGGCCTCAGGAAGCGGAAGTCCCGCCTCTCGCGCCCTTCTTCAGAGGCCCGAGCAACGCGGTGGAGACGGCAGTGACCGGAGAGCGCAGCCACCGGCACCATGTGAGGCCGGGCGCGGCTTGGGCGGCGGGGATGGGCTTGGCGCTGTAAAATTAGCTGTTTACGAGCGGAAGGGGATGGGCAGAAATTGTCGGTGAAGCGGCGTACTTCTCTCCCTGAGAGCTGAGGACGGGCACGGGGCCCTGTGACGGGCCCGGAGCACGGGAGCGGGGACAGCGTAAAACATAACGCGCCCGCTCCTTGTTGGGGCGATGGTCTTTCAGGAGTGGCGATTTGTGAATAATAACTGGAGGAGGGGATTGCGGACTGAGGGAGGCGGCTTAAGCGAACGCACTTAACCGCGTAATTTGGTCTGGAGAAGGTTGGCTTTTCGGCTTCATCTCGCGACTCTTACAAATAACGAGCCAGCCGAGTAATTTTCCTTTTTGGGGTGGGAAGAGGCAAACAGTACACTAACGATAATAAACAGGTAAAGTTGACGGTGGGTTAGGTGACCAGGGGCTCTGAATAAACAGTAGAGCTGGGCAAGGAAATAATGGGGAATGCCGTTTGTATTTGAAGAGACTAACTTAATCGTTAGCACAGAAAGACACAATGAGGAAACCACCCTTGAGCCTGAGACCTGAAGAAAGCGTGAAACTGGGGCATGGGGGGGTGAGGTGCATTGCAGAAACTTAGGATTTCACACTGAGATGGGGGTTATGGGAGTAAGAGGAAGTGACAGATGTTGGCATGGGACTATTCTGTGGCAAACAGAGCATTGGGGAGCATGAGTGAAGACAGGGAGACAGTTACGGAGATTGACAGTGAAGGTCTACTTGGATACAGGTACTTTGAAGGGACAGATGATGGGAATTGCTGACATTGCAGGATGTGAGGAAAAGGACGCATCAAATTGACGTGAAAGTTTTTGCTTAAAAGGTATAGAGGGGGCCGTCCCTGGTGGCGCAGCGGGTTAAAGCACTGCACTAAGAAGCTAAAGCCACTTCCGAATGAGTTTGATTCCGGCCTGCCCCGGAGGTGACCACATGGCGTGGCAGACCTCTCCTGACCCGCCCGCTGCTCCCCTCAGCAGTGGACTTCGTCGATCTGCTTGTTCTGCTCCCCACTCTGTCTCTGGTGAAGCCTCTCACCGCCCCTGAGCCTCTGGCCTGTACCCCAGTTCTGTATGCACAAATAAATAAATCTTTAAAAAAAAAAAAAGGTATAGAGGATGGAACTTGCCCCATGGAGATGAGGAAGGCTATGGGTTGAGTGACTTGGCATGGTGAGGACACCTGGAGCTTAATTTAGGACAGGCAGGGTTGACAGTGCCTACTGGGCATCCGGGTGGTGATGCCAACAAGGAAGACTGAGCGAGAGCATGTTTTGGGGGAAGATGGAGACATTGGTCTCATGGCCACCAAGGCTTCTCTCGCCGATGGGTTCTGTGCTTGCCCACTTAGGAGCCTCCTCAACAAGCCCAAGAGTGAGATGACCCCGGAGGAACTGCAGAAGCGTGAGGAGGAGGAGTTTAACACAGGTCCACTCTCTGTGCTCACACAGTCGGTCAAGAACAATACCCAAGTGCTCATTAACTGCCGAAACAACAAGAAGCTGCTGGGCCGTGTGAAGGCCTTCGACAGGTAAGTGCCTGGGCTTGGGAGTTGTTCTGGCCAGGTCTGAAGAATCGGCCCTCATCCCCGTCCAAGGAGTCTGAAAGGTGACTCAGAGGCCTCTGGCAGAAGCATCTTCAGACCCCAAGGTCTTGACAGTCTCTCGTGGCCCCTCCATCTGTGAAGCAGAGTGGGCAGGTTCTGGGGAGCCTCTCTGGGTTCGTGTCCCAACCCTGCCTGTCAGCGGGTCTGTAACCTTTAGCCAGTTTTTATCCTGACATGCATTACAAAGATTCAGGCCTTTCATATGTGCGAAGTGTGGTAAGGCATAGCAGGCATAAGTGACACACACACGACCAGTAAATCAGGTGTCCTAAAGACAAGGGGTGACAAGTTCTCTGAGGAAAAGGAAAGCCAGGTAAGAGTGTAGAGTACTGGGATGAGGGTACTGTCTTCATTGGGGTGATTGGAGAGTCACCCCTTCAGAAGAGGTACAACAATCTAGGGTCTGAGAGTGGTTCAGCAGACCAAGTATCAGGTGATCCTCCCCCAGTGGGGCTCAACTTCCCTATCTACGAAATGCACACCGTAGCAACACCCCACCTAGAATGTTGTGAGGATTAAGTGATAGCCTATGCGAGGCTCCTTGGCTCAGGCCTAATAGGAGATGCACCCTATTAACAAAAGGGGAGATTACATTCCTCACAGTAGTGCAATGAAGCTCAATTCTAGAACATTTTTCCCACTAGCTACTATGTGACCGTGAACAAGCATTTTGCTCTCCTCCTCAGTTTCCTCTTGAGTAAATGGGACTAAGACCAGCAGGAAGTGCTGAGCAGATGGGAGTGGGTGGCCTTGGATTTGAACGTAGACTAAGTCTGCTGAAATCTGTGACCTTGGGTGCTAAGTTTCCTACCAGAGGCTGAAGATAACATTAGTGTATACCTTTTGGAGGGGAGGTACAGTGGCGATCAATGGGTTAATGCCTAGAAAGTGCTAGAATAGGCCTGAGAGCATGTAAATGCTCAGTAGGTGGTGATTATTACAGATTATGTGTGTGTGTGTATTTGTGTATGCATTTATTTATGTTAAGCTGCCCCAGTGTCTGCCTCCCGCCCCTCCCAGCCTCCTGACCATCCACCGCCTCGTGTGTATGTGTCCTGCCACACATCAGCTAACACCCACACATTCCAGGGGCTCCTTAAGTGGTGCTAGTCAACAGCTTTACTGAGGCACATAATTGCCCTTGAACAATGTGGGGTTAGGGGCAGTGAGCCACTCCCCCACCCCCCGGTCCAGTGCAGTCAAGTTCCCTTTAGAACTTGACTCCTCCAAACATTTAACTATTAGCCTGCTCCTAATCAGGACCTTATGAATCACATAATCAGTCAGTAAACATATTTTGTATGTTATGCAGATTACTCATGAAGTCAGCAGGAGAAATGTCATTAAGAAAAATCATAAAGGAGGGAAAATACATAGATAGTCCTGGGCTGTGTTTAGCAAAACTGTAAGTTTATGTTGCCTGTTTACGAGAAAACCCAAGTTTAAGTAGTAGCCCCCTGGAGTTCAAGCCTGTAATGGACAGACTCACAAAATACATTATTTGTAAAATGGAACCTTTCCTGTGCTCTTCTGCCCCTTGTTTTTCAAAGGTATCAGTGGCCTGAGCGTGTTGCTGCAGGTCCTCCAGAGCTTTCTTACACTGCCTTATTTATTCACCGAGAAGCTTATGCTCCCTTCTTGGGTGAACCCTGGCTGTAGCTGAGGCAAAAAATTCTAAGTGGCGAAGGGGTCTGCAGTGGAAAACGGGTCTTCTCTGGGTCCCAGTTGCCCTCCCAGGGAGCCCACGAGGGCTGTTTGTTGGGGCTCCTCCCAGTGTGTCATGTGCACAGCACGTCCTGGGTGAGGACCACAGGCTGCCTGGTCACCGCTGATGGCACGCAGCGCAGCGTTGGGCCTCGGCCCTCTCCCATCCTGGGCCTTGCAAAGGCCTCTGTGTCGGCAGCGTCCTTCCTCTGAGCCGGTGGGGACAGTCACATGACTCCAAATCCAATAATTGTTTAAAAAAGAAAGAACAATTTTTCTTTTTAATTTCAAGAGAAACAACCAAAATAGGGGGGAAATAAAAAAAGATCAGTAAGGACAGTCCAGTGAAAGTTTCTGTCTGGCTAGGACACCCCACTGCCCCCCATCTCTAGGTAACTTCCAGGGATCCCACACGCCCAAGTAAGTGGGCAGTGGTGTGCGTCGTCCCCCAGCTCGAACCTTCCGTGCGCTCTCCCTGCCTTGCTCTCTCTGCTCCGTGGCAGCTCTGGCAGGTCAGCTTGGTTTATTTTATTTTTTAAAGATTTATTTATGCATATAGAACTGGGGTACAGACCAGAGGTGCAGGGGAGCAAGAGGATTCACCAGAGACAGTGGGGAGCAGAACAGGCGGATCTACTGCATCACTGCTGAGGGGAGCAGCGGGGAGACAGGGAGGGGCCTGCTGCACCCTGTGGGTCACTCCCTGGTCGCGGATCGAACTGGCTGCAGTGGCTGCCAGTAGCTTCGTTGTGCTGCGCTTTAACCCATTGCACCACCAGGGAGGGCCCTTGATTTAATTTTCTTTGTTTTACCACTTGTTGATATTTCCATACTTTGTTTTCTCTTTTTTCAATGTGGTTAATTTTGCTGCATCTGCTTTCGGCCCTCCAACCCCACCACCACCCTCAGCCCCCTCGCCTCCCTCTGGAACTCAGAGCCGTCAGGGTTTATTCCTATCTCCCGCCTTGACCATGCTTTCCTCAGCGGCCTGTCTGCTGTGTTGGCGTCGAGTGCTGGCTTTTCCACTCTGATGGACTGCTGCAGGCTTCTCTCCAGCTCCCCCTTACTAAGATAGCTGTGTTCTGTTCTCGTGGCTGCATTGTCCTCCTCGGTGTGGCCAGATTCTCCCTGCGGCCTCCGTCCCGGCCCCCTGTCCCTGTCTCCTCGCTACAGCGTGTCACCCGAGTGTTTGTCACAGCAGAGCGCACACCTGACTGCTCCATGGGACTCCTTGTTCGCCTGTCCGCGTCCTCCGCCTCACTAGGATGCACACCCCAGGAAGGGCAGGGGTGTTGTGTTTTTACTCCTTGCTATGTTCTTTGCAAGCGAGTCAGTTCTCTGATCCACACTGTCGTCCCAGCTGCCCCCCGGCCCCCTGAGGATGGGCAAAGCTGGGCTGGCGGCGTCCCGTGGGGCCTCCAGCCAGGGGGCTTTGGGTCTCTTGAGAAAAGCCGTGGTGGCGCCTGCAGAAGCTCTCAGAAGCGTGGTGAACACACACAGGACCATTCTATTTGCCTTTCCCTGGGCTCGGTCCTGTTCTAAGCACTGTACAAATGCATTGCACATATCGGTTTATTTCATCTTCACACCAGCCCTGTGAGACATCCCCACCGTGAATGTCTTCACTGTAGGGAGGAGGAAACTGAGGCGCAGACATGTGGGGTCTCATGCCCACGCCTCATCCTGTGGACTGGCAACCCAGGAGCCCAGGCCTGCACCTCCCACCCCCTCAGCCCCTCACCCCCTGCGGCTCGTGGAGGAGGGAGGCGGTACTTGCGAGGGAGAGGCTACTTGCGAGGGAGAGGCGCAGGCTCCCCTCACTCCAGGTGCCTTTCTCCCCGCTGCCCCCACCAGACACTGCAACATGGTGCTGGAGAACGTGAAGGAGATGTGGACAGAGGTTCCCAAGAGCGGCAAGGGCAAGAAGAAGTCCAAGCCCGTCAACAAGGACCGCTACATCTCCAAGATGTTCCTGCGCGGGGACTCGGTCATCGTGGTCCTGCGGAACCCCCTCATCGCTGGCAAGTAGGGCCTCTGCCTGCCGCCAGAACGCACCCCTCGAACGGCAACTCTCATCCTGTGAAGAGGCAACTCTCATCCTGTGAAGACCCGTCCTTTCTGATGGGCATAATAAAGTCCTGTTTGTTTATTCCCCCAGTGGCATTTGTCTGTTCCTGGGCCTTGTGCGGGGGAGGGGGAACTCCAGAGTGAGGGGCAGCTGGCGCCCGGGCTGGGGGCTCAACATCCCCCAGCAGGTGAGGAGGTCCCGCCTCTGCCTCTGCCCTTTCCTGGCCTGCCCAGAGAATAGTTGGACAGCGCTCGAGCTCTGGCAGCTTCGGGCCTTCCCAGCTTCTCTCTCTCCTGCCTGCCACTCTTCACAAGCCGGTCTCAGAACTTCCTGCTGTCTTTTTCCCTGTGTTCGGTCAGCAAACGTTCGAGGCTGCCGGCCATGGGTCCAGTGCCGTTCAGACTGCAGCGGCTCTCCACAGGCCGGTATTTGTTACCTCCACTTCCAGAGGCAGGAATCGAGGTACAGGGAGTGGGTGTCTTCCCTGGGGGTCCCCAGGGCTTAACCCTGGACTCTGTACCTCCAGTTACAGTGGAATTCCCTGTGCATGTCTGTCAAACGTGCTGCTAGACATGGGGGAGAGGTGTGGAGCCGCCTTTTTAGGGGGCTCTGGTGTGCACGCGGTGCTCTCCCACCCTTGTCTGCATCTGGGTGTCTGCTGCCTAGATGGGCCGGGCGCTGGGCAGCTGTGGGGGTTGACGGGGTCAGATGAGACGTGCAGGTGCCTGAGTGGGGGTGGCACAGCCTGACTTGCCTGTGAGCCTGTTTGTGGCAGAGCCAGGACCCTGCCCTGGCAGAAGTCCTGGCACCCGGAGCAGCGGCTTTGTGCCCACGTTCAGTGGGAACAGCCGTCCATGGGGCCGACACTAAAGCTCACCATTCTACACGAGACTCCTGAGGCCCAGAGATGGTTCTGAACTCGCTCAGCACCAGTCAGGACATGGCGGGGCAAGCCTCAGGAGCAGGATCTGAGTGGGAAGTGGGGCGGAGGCCCTGGCAGGGGGGACAGCTCGAGGCCTGGGGCTACATATAGGTCATAACCTGGGCGGGGGGCACCTCACCCTGGTGGGTGACTTGTGCACCCCCAGGAAATGAGAATTGATTTCCTAAGGGTGGGGGGACCGTTGTCTTGAGGAAACTGAGGCACATGGGTGAGGAATTTCCAGGTCACACAGCTGACAAGTGGCTGAGCTAAGATTTGAAGCAGGTTGCTGCTTGCTGTGCCGACTTCCCCAAGAAGCAGCCCTCAGGAAGGAAGTGGTACACACAGGTGGTTTTAATGGGACTGGGGTACATGTCAGTCACGTGAACATCCCTCTTGAGGTTCGGGGGAGCAGCAGGTGGTGGAAGCCAGCCGCCTAGCCTCCCGCCACTCCGCCCTGCCCGCCCAGAGGCAGTTGTCTCATGCTTCGTTTACCAAGACCCCCAAAGCCACAAGGGGGTCCCAGCAGGATGCCAAGCTTGAAGGACTTGGAGTTCAGCTGCTCTGGGGTACAACATCTGGGAAACTGGGGACATTGAGAGAAATAATTGACAACACTGAGGGCTAGCCGTGTCTGCATCTGCATGAGGGTGGATTTAGAGGCTTTGGGGTTCACAGGTAGGCCAGCCATAGTGAGGCCGCCTGCTACCCAGAATGCAGAGGGCTGCGCTGAGGGTGGAGGTATGCACCCACCCTCACCCTGCTAGCAGCCCTCTGGCTGTGTGGTTTAGGCTGTCAGGCCTGACCTGAGTCCCCCGTGCTTACAGCTACACACAAATCCTGTCGGGGGGGGGGGGGGGGGGTGCTCACTCACCTCTCTGTCTCCAGGCCCACCCTCTCCCATGAGCTGCAGACCGCTAGCTTCTTAAGTGCCAAGAGGACTCCGGGCACTCCTCACCCTCCTAGTGCACCTCTATCCCACACCCAGGAACGGCCCTTGACCTCCCTCGGCTGTGCACGGCGACCAAAACTGCAAATTATCTCATTTCTACTGTTAAAATAGCCCCAGAGGCCCTCCCCGGTGGTGCAATGGTAGAGCGCAGCATTGAAGCTCACTGCAGCAAGATTGCGACCCCCAGCCAGGGAGGTGGCCCACGGGGCGCAGCAGATCTCTCCTGCCCTGCCCGCTGCTCCCCTCAGCAGTGGGTTTCAGTTAATCTTCCTGTTCTGTTGTCCACTTTGTCTCCGTTCTCTGCGCCACTTGCACATCTGGCCTGTACCCCAGTTCTTGTATGCATAAAAAAATCAAATCTTAAAAAAAGCCCCAGAGTCCAACTCCTTCACACTCTGGACCAAGGCTGCCACCCTGGTCCAGCCATCAGGCTCCTCACAGAACGACTCCTCTGCCCCCAGTGACCTTGCCCAGCTTCTTCATACACCCAGGTCGTGCCTCTCTCCTTCCACGAGTTGGTTGACTCACTTCACGCCCAGCCATGTGGCTCCCTCTTCCTCAGACCCCTTCTGCACCCCCAGGCCTTTGCAGATGCTGTTCTTCTGCCCACGTCATGTCTTTCGTTTCTTCCCAAAGCTGTTTCTTTCACTCCCAGGCATGGCTAAATGTCAGCTCCTCAGATGCACCTCCTGGGACACCCCAGGCCCCTCTCCCCCTACCCCCAGTTTTCATAGCCAATATTTAACTTGTCTTCAAGGTTTGTTCCCCACCTTCACTTCACTCTAGACAGGGGCCTGGCTTGTTTCCTACTCCTCCCACCCCCATTTCCCCAGCCACCTCCACACACTGGCACACTGTGGGCGCCCAACTAACCGTGCCAACTGAGAATACACGGGAATCCCACTGCTAGCAGGAGCTTTCCCAGACGCGGGTGGCCTCATCCCCAGGCCTCGGGAGGGTCCCTGAAGACAGGGTGCGTCCGGCCGGGGGCCGTCCGGATCCAGAGCCGGAGCCCTCCGGTAGGGTCCGCGAGGCGCGCTCCGAGGCCTGGCGCTGCTCCTCGCCCAGGCTGCGGCGCAGGCGGCTGCGGTGCCAGCCGCGGCGGATCTCGGACCGCACCTGGGAGGGCCTCGCGCTCAGGGGCTGACGGGGCGCGCCGACGCCGCGCGGCCGCCAGAGGGCGCGGGTGCGGGCCGGGCTCGCCTACCTCCTTGTTGATGAAGCAGTAGAGCACGCTGACCAGGAAGCCCTGCGAGAGGAGGCTGGGCGTCAAGTCTGGGGGCGGGATTGTGACACCCCTCTAATGATCTCGGAGGCCCGTTAGGCTCCAAATCTCTCAGATGCTGCCACCCCGACCCTGGTCCTAGATCTGCTCGCCCTTTGCCCTCAAAGGTCCCCTGAGCCTGATAGCAGGACTGGGAGTTAAGGACAAGGGACCCCAAAAGTAGGCTGCCAGAAGTGGTAACTTCTTCCCCATTTGGGCAAACTGCTTGACTCCTCTGTGCCTCAGTTTTTTCATCTTATGTATATATATACATAGTTCTGCATGCTACCGTACCAGTGATATATATGTTGTGCGTTGTATACATACTACATATTATATAACAACTACTTTATATCATATATAAAATAGAGTATATTATTTATATATTAATATATACTATATAGTAGATAATACATAATGTGCATACATATCATGTGTAATGCATTGTATATAACATTAGTATATTCTATATAATATGTAGGATATGTGTTCATGTATATTAAATATATTTAAGAATTTTTACATGTCAAAATATTTTAATATATGAATTTAAACAGAAAGTGTCTTATAGCTATAATTAATAATGACTCTTTAAATGAATGCAAAACAATTATGCACTTGTATTGTTATGATAATGCTATCTTAATATCCCTCTCCTTGATCCCCTTACACTAATTCTGATCACCCCCAAGCTGAGAGCCCTGCAATGCCTGCACCTCATTCAGAAGAAAAGCCGAAGTCCTTACTTGGCACGGGCCCTGGCTGGGTCCCTCACCCCTCTGTCCCGTCTCCCCCTGCTCCCACGCCCGCTCCCTCACCCCCTTTCAGGGGCTGGCCTTCCTCCATCATGACATGTCCCCTCTCCCACATCAGCATCTTGTATCTTGCATCTGCCATCTCTCTCCCTGCAACATGTGCCCCCAATGCTTGTTCTGCACCACGGGGCCTCCCCCCAGTATCCTCTCAGGGAAGCCTCCCCTCCCTCCCCTGTGTATAACCTGCCTTTCTGTCTACTCTTCACCTCTATTTTCCTGCCTGCCTGCCCCAGGCACTTGGCACCATCTGCCATCCTGTATGATAATTGCGTGGCATGTTGCATGTCTGTCTCTCCTACTCAAGGGAAAGCTCCGTTTGGTTCTTGGTGCCGTGCCCACGGGAAGCCTGGGAAGGTGCTTGTTAGCACACAGTAATGTTTGCTGAATCTAGTGAATGAACAGCCTTGTAAGGTGAAACTGGCAATGTCCCCCCTTTAGAGATGACAAAACTGAGGCCCACAAGGTAAAGCAAGGTGGGGATTCTGGTAGGGCGAGCGAGGGCAGGAACAGTCTTCAGCTTTGCAGTGATCACTCACGTTTTGTACCTTAGGCAGGTACCTCACGTGCGCATCCTAGCTCCTACCCGGGGACAAAGGCCACAGAGCTGGAGCTGACAGAAGTCAAGTATGGCCCCAGTCCTGTCCGGCCTCAAAGCCCTCCTGCCCTCTTCCCCAGGGGCAGCTGCTGGGGGAGCCGGTCCCCTGTCTCAGTCTCCTGGAGCTTCCCCGCCCAGGGCAGCATTAGCTCGGTATTTGTTAGCGTGAAGGAACACTACCCATCTTCACTGCCCACTCAGGGCTGTTCCAGGGGATAATTAGCCTCTCTAGGCTGCAGGCCCAGGTTGAAGGTAACCCCTATGCCTTTGAGCACCTGGAAGGAGCTGAGGAAGATCTCAAAGCCAAGCTTGGCAAAGCGCAGGGTCCCCCGGGCCTGTTCCTCTGTCACGGGAGCAAACACCATCTCATGGACCCCCAGCAGAGGCACCAGCGTCAGCGTGGAGCGGGCCAGCCTGTGGGGAGATGATGGGAGTGGGCCTGCCCCCCCCCCACCTCAGTCCCTGCCAACCTCTCACACCTCAACCTGTAGTCAGGGCAGCGCATCTGTCTGGTCCTCAGCTTTGAAACAAGGATGC